TTCTCTGGATTTTTCTTTTGATATCTTCTAGTGAGATTTGCTCTTCGAGAGTTACTTCTGGTTGTAACTTCTCGTCTAGACTTGCTTTGAGGAATTGAATGGTTTCTGACTTTATTCTTTCCTCCTCGTAGCCTCCTAGACTTTCGATTCTTAACTGAAGGATTGCTCCTCCGTACTTTCTTTTATCCTTCATTTTTGGGTGTCGAAGTTTTCCTTCATCACCACGCTTGCTGCGAAATGTGATAGGCATTTTTCTATGAAATGACTCTTTTAACCTTTGGACGATGATCTTATGTTCACAAAGAGTTGTAAAAATAAGTCTTCTTGTCTCATTTTCTTGAGTAAATCTTTTGAAAGTTTGTAGGAAATTGTTTCCTAACAATACATCTGCTCCTGTATCATGAAAATAGATTGGTGGTGTTTTTACCTTATACCAAGGATTACCACCGGCTCCGCCAATCATGATTTCTGCTTGTTTAATTCCTCTTTTAAGGATAAGAATCCTTTTAGAGAAGTCTCTTCCTGCTATAGGGGTTAGGTCCTCTCCTATTTCTTTTGGAAATACTCCAGGTTTTGCTGTGCAAATACCTGCTCCAGAATCAATATAGGCTGCAAAATATTCTGCCCTATATGATTCATATAATATTCCGATTGAAATATAAATTGAGAATGGACTAGTTGTTATCTAAACTCTATATCTTCGTCCATTTACTGTAAACTCCATTCCATCTCTTAACCTTTCCCATGGTTTATGGTTTTCCATGAATTCTAATCCTAGAACAAGTTGTTCTGGGATCCTTCCTGCTCCTCCTGTGATCACCGTTTCAATTTCTCCGATCTTCAAGATACCTTCATATTGTCCTATTATAGGTTGTTGGAGGTAATATAAGGCATCACAGGGAAATAAATTATCCTTTTGTGTGATATCAAACCTTATTTCTACTGACCTCCATCCTTCAGGACATCTTATTTCTCCAGTTGTTTCAAATACCTCTGGAGTTCTTATATGTATACTTGCTCGTTGTTCTTCCCAGCGGTTACTACTAATAGCTCTATCTTGCTGGAAAGACATTCTCCTGGGCTCAATCATGAGTCCTTTAGACCGGTTAAAAAATAGGTCTATCTTGGATTATCATATCAATTTCTTCAATTGTTAGATTTTCAATAATATCCGGTAATACTGCTTTTGCAAAATCCTCAAATATCCTGGGAACTTCTATGAATTCCTTCCTTAAAAATACCTCAGAATGATGAGTGTTTGATAAAGCATAGGAAATCTTGTAGGTAATGGAATAGGGTTTATTCCCTTCTTTCATTAACTCTGCTCTTTTAAAATCTTGATGCAGGGTAAGAACTTTGTTAAAATCACGATCTCCTAAATTGTATGAAATTCTTGGATAGACATTGAATGCCAATTTTCCTGCATACAAATTTCCTGTAATTCCTCCAAGACATGAGTCTTTGAGGTCAGAAATCCTTTTATCAAATATCGCCAGATTAAGAGGTGAATCTATTCCTTCTTTAAAGGTTGACTTGATGACTACTCTAATGGCTCCAATGTGGATCCATAAAAGTGTATTAGCCACCTCTCTTTTGAGCCTACCTTTAATATCCTGAATTTCTCTATAGGGAATGAGTTGCATTTCTATTTGATTCCCCGTATATTCCATTAGAATGGCAAACTCTCCTATTGAGACTCTATGGATAATATGGTGGTTTCTACTTCTCAATCCTATTTTATCCATAACCTTTTCTATTGCCCCAATAGTAAATCCATCATACATTTGGAGCTTTGGATCTTCCTTCATAATCTTCATAAGAGTTTTGTTAGACACTGTCGTATGGGAAAGAAATCCCGACATGTCTTCTCTTACTACTTGTTGAAGGAACTCTTCTTCACTCTGATTCTGAACAGGAGTCACTTCCATTTTCAGAGTAGACTTCTTCTTCTTCATAAATGCTTTCTTCTGAGGGAATATCCTCAAATTGATACACCTGTACCAAATCTTGATAGTAGACAGCATCATCAAATTCTGGGGTAGCTTCAAACTGTCTTATTCCTTGCCTTTTATTATCCGGGCAATCGGTCGATATATGACCTCTTGCTCCGCATGTCCAGCAATTACAGTCTTTAAAACTTCCATTGGCTCGTGTTTGAGCTCTTCTGAAAGTTCTTCTACTTGTACTTCTTTGATTAGAACCTGAAGAAGAGGCTCTACTACGGCTTGGTATTGGTCTTTGTCCGGATTTATAATTCCGGGCCTTTTGTTTCGACCAGTATCATCTAGGTCTCCATGAAGACCCACTCTTCTTGTATCCACGGGAGTGAGCATCTCTAGTATGCTTTCTCCGTTTGTTTCTCCATGGATGACTCCCAATAATTGTTGGAATGTCATTTTCTTCACAACATAGAGAAACTAATTTGTTGATACCTCTAAGTCTTTTATAATTATTGTGTAGTGCCGCCTGATGGCACCACTCGGATAGTTTGGCCTTAAGAAATGACATCCTTCTAGCCACCGTATCTACCTCGTCCATCTTATATTCTTTGATTAGCATTTCTCTCTATGGACTAGGTATCTTTGCAAAGAACAATTGGGAGGCTTCAAAATCTGCTACCTTGGCCTTCCATCTATACTCCGTGAATAACTTGATATATTCATCTACATGACAAATGTCATGTAATTCTAAACAATAGAGGGCTTGTTTATATCTCTTTTGTTTTTCTTCCTCTACTCCTTCAAAATATCCTGTGCCGATAAATTAGATCTTAAATACTCTTGCCATATTATCGACTATTCCTTTTAATGATTCTCCAGCTATGACATCTCCTTTAACGTCTGGAGAAGCCATATCCCATGCAATTTTAACTGAACCTTCTAGGCTCATTTCGAGAAGTGAAATGAACCCTTCTTTGTTGAGATCCAATGTCCCTCCAGCAATTCTCATTGCAGAGGCCCAATCATCGATAAGGATCTCCCGATTTTTAAAATCTAAGGTATCTAGATTCAACATTAACCCATAAGGATGAATTGGATCTAGTTGAGATTTCCCATAAGGGGTATTTTGAAGGTTAGGCCTTCGGGAACGCATTCGTGTACCCGCTGGATGCCCGCTTTCTCCCCGAACCTGAAAATCCCCTTGATGGGGCATATGTTGTTCCTCAGGTTGGTGAGAACCCGAACTTTCTCCTCCAGGAGGTGGTTGGGACCTAGTTACTATCGTTGAACCATCTCCCGTATTCATTTTTAAGTCTACTAGACCCAGACCTGCAAAGGATTCTGCAAGGTCATGTAGATCCTCCAAATTCACTCTTTCCATTATTTGTTAGTGAATTTTCCTTTTAAGATGGCTCTCGTCTTTTCGTCCTCTGTCATAGGCCTTCGAACTTCGGTGGGTTTACCCTTTTGGTGTAATAGAGGTACTGTTCCGAAGGTTACTTTTCTTCGTCCTCCAGAAGAGCTCGGCCTATCTTCTAGAGTTTTAACTCGCTTTTGAATGTCAATAAGGATTTGTAATGTATCCTTTTGACTCTTCATTAGTTCTTCAATTTTGGTTAGCGTCTGGTGTACCTTGTTTGGTACAAGCAATTGCTTTTCACCATAGCTTTGTATCGTCTTTTGTAATTCACGAATATCTTCCAAAAACTTAGACGAGTCTGGAATAACTTCTTTCCAGGTTAAACTATTATAGCTCATTGATGACTGTGATTTCGATGAGCTATTGCTTGATGATTTAATAAATCTGTTTGTAACAATTGGTTTACCTAGAGGGCATCCATATGATACTTATTTTGGTTTTGGCAAAGTTTAGTTGTAATTCTATTAACTCCTGCCATAACTTGTTCAACATAACGGTCATCCCAATGGGCAACCATTTGTTGGTGTTCTTGTTCACACATCTTCAAAATTTGAAGATATCTTAGATAATGTATACATTCTGAACAATTTTCTATATCCATTCTTTTTTAATTCTCCTCACCAAAATTCAATTACCATGTAATAAATTTTTCTAAGAGTTCTTAATAAAACCTAGGCTCTGATACCATTTGATACCATTTTATATGTGGTGGTACTCTGGAAATAAAGTCAGGTACAATATAAAAAGACATTTGGTACTCTATGTAAATTTATAACACAAGATACTATTTTGAAAGCCCCTGGTACTATCCCCCTACATATTAATACAGAACGCGCTGAGCCTACGTGGTTGTTTCTGGTGCTTCGAAATCCTATGTGGCAAAATTACATGCTTTGTTATTAGGCTTGGGTAAATTTTAATTTAATTTCAAACCAAAGATAATTAGGTTCAGATTACCATAAATATGTTGATTATTTATGATCATGTTATATTTATTAATTGTATTTTAATATCATTCCTTATTATAATTATTGAATTGTATATATATTTTAAAAGTTAATAACTTTTGTACTTTTTATCAGTTTTACATATGTAATATATCAAATTAATCTTCTTTTGATGAGCTTCGATTTAACATCCATATTGTATGTATAAAAAAAATAATATATATTTATCTTTATAACGATAATAAAATTATTTTTAATATTAATTAGAAAAACAAATTTTTTTATCAACTAATATATTTATATTTCAAGTAGTTATATGATATAAGTTATAATAACTAATATAATATAACACATGTAAGTCATAAGTAACACATATCATTCTAAAATATATAATAATATATTTTTTTTGGAAAAAAAGTAAATTAAATTTAATATAGTTTTCTCATTAATTTTAAAATTTAAGAATAATTTTTTAACAAGCACCCGTGTAATACACGGGTGTTGTACTAACACTGAATGAAAACTTGTACTTTTCTTTTAAAAACAGGTATCGGGACAGAAATGTAATTTAAATCTTAGAGGGGACCATAAAATTGTTGACTAGGGAGTTGAATGAAAAAAAATTTCACTAGGGACCGAATGAGAAGATGAATTTATGATTGAGGATTTATCTATACATTTCCCAAAAAGCCCATGTGCGATTCACGAGTCACCGTTCGCAGGATTCGTAGTAGATAGACGAGACAAATTTGTTGAGAGGGAGAGAGAGAGAGTGATAGATAAGGTTTTATAGAGGTGTTCTACTTTCCCCTCAACCCTCGACTTTTCTCCAGTTTACATTTCCTTTAACTTTAGGGCTTTCGATTTGTTGTGCAAGCAGAGCAGACGCTGTTAAAACTCCAGGCGACAGATTTTGTGTAAGCCGCCTCTGTTTACAATTTTTTTTTTTTTTGCCTTAACTGCTGCTCGCTGCCTCGTTATTCGCTGTTTCGTTTTGCTATTTTGCAATTTGTTCAATTTTTGCCCTTTTGTTGTTCTAGGGTTCTTCCTATTACTTTGTCTCTCTGTGTATGCGTGTGTGTTTGCGTGGGGTATATATTTGAATTTTGTGAAAATTTCCTTTCTACGGTGAGCAGAGACATGGCGGGTCAGTTGATAAAAGAATGGACTGCAATTCACCAATTTCCAGCTGCCACTCAGGAGAAATTGGTTGACTTACTGGCAAAATTGAAGAATGAGGTTTCTAAAATTTCTCTCAACTTTGCATATCACATTGGATTATACCAAAATAAATCTTGATAATGCGTTGCAATCCTAACTGAAAAATTTATCTTTTTGAGTAAAGTTGATTAGATGTTCATCTCCTTGTATCTAATTTTCGGCAATCAAAATAAATAATGTTTATTATTGTTTTCTCTAGAATGTTAACACTTTGACAATCCTCGTGATGGGGAAAGGTGGTGTTGGAAAATCTTCCACCATTAATTCGATTATTGGGGAACGAGTGGTCACTGTCAGTGCTTTCCAGGTAGGTACCACACTCTGATTTATTGTTTTGAGATGAATTTTGATTAATTTGTTCATTTTCAGGTGTTGTTTTATGGATGAAGTGATAATCAGTTGTAACGTTCAATGTTGTTTCAGTCTGAAACTCCAAGGCCAGTGATGGTTTCGCGATCTCGATCGGATTTTACACTTAACATTATCGACACGCCAGGGCTTGTTGAAGGAGGATATGTTAGTGACCAGGTCCTCGAGACAATAAAAAGGTTTGAGTGGTTATTTTCATTCACACACACGTATATATAGCAAAGATTCTCGATAGAGCTGTAAATGAATGGAGTAGTGTCCATCATATCCATGTTCAAATTAGTTACTTTTTTTTATCAAGTTTAAGAAAGTTTGTTTGAATTTGTTAGATAATTCAATCGAGTTGAGATTGGATGAGCTTCACTTGATCTGAGCATTAATCTTGATTGTGATTTCTAAAGATTCCAACATTTTTAAACATTTTATCATGTTTTTACCAGTCTAGCTGATCTTAGTCTTTTACCAAACAGCCCAACTGAATTGAAACAATCGGAAGACATTATTTGGTTTACAGTTTGCACGAAAAATGGAATTGTTGTTATTTTTGATGATATTTGTTTGTAGCTCCCTGGGCAGGTTCCTTCTGAATAAGACCATAGATGTTCTGCTTTATGTGGACCGTCTGGATGCATACAGAGTGGACAACATGGACATGCAGATCGTGAAAGCTATTACCGATAGCTTTGGAAAGGAGATATGGCATAAAGCAGTGGTTGTCCTTACACATGCTCAGCTTGTACCTCCTGATACTTTGAGTTATGAGGAGTTCTTCTCCAAACGATCTGACTCCCTTTTGAAATGCATCCGGCTAGGAGCTCGGATAAGCAGAACGGAGCTTCAGGTATAAACCGTTGTGTACTCCCCTTAAACTCACAATTTCTTTGTATTTGTTATTTTTGTGGCAAAAATCCGTCAAACTAACTGCTTAAGTATATTTTTAAATTACACATTACTGTGTGTATCAAGAGTTTAGGCTATGGCTTTAAAATAGACAACTTTGTAAAGTATGATGGATAAAGCAATTCGACAACATTGTCCCGGTCAAATCCAACACTCGTCTGATCCATGATAGTTTTACAAATAGTCCATTTATTATATCCTAACCATTTCTTTTTTGTGTTAAGCTTTACTAATTATTTTCTGTCGTTAGACAACATATTCCATAGAAACAAAGCATTATTTTATTTCAGAAAGAAAAAGAACATAGAACTGCCAAGTGATTTGTGAAACTCTGGGTATCAATTTTCAGCAATGATTTTTTCTCATTTCTCACTATCTTTACTGATCTTCATATTTATTGTTTTTAGAATGTTGCTCTTCCTGTTGCGTTGGTTGAGAATAGTGGGAGGTGTAAGAAGAATGACAATGACGAGAAGGTGATTTTCCTTTCTTTTTTTTTTTTTTAACCTGCTCGTTTGTTTATGTAACTTGTGTTACAAATTCGACATTTTCCAAATTGATTTGCCTTCATTTTTGCAGATCCTTCCAACCGGAACTCCTTGGATTCCAAATCTGGTCCAAACGATCACGGATGCCGTCTTAAATGGAAAAAGGGGCATTCTTGTGGACAAGAAGTTGATTGAGGGCCCAAATGTAGACGACAGGGGAAAGAAATTTATACCTTTCATCTTGGCCGCACAGGCAAGTTTTCTTGTTTCCCTTATATAATAAAAGAAGCCATGATTATCCTTACTCCCCCCCCAAAAAAAAAAACACTCACTAGTCCACAAAATTACAGCGTACCTCAGCAATTTAAAGAGTGTATTTGTCTTATTATTTCCCCCTCTGCACCGTTCAGTATTTTATTTTTTTTTTCACTTTTTTCTGCAGTACTTCTTGGTTATCAAAAATATACAGAAGTGGATCAAGGCTGACATTGCTCGAGAGGCCGAGCTGAAGTGAAAAATCATTGCCAGGGTTGTTTCAATGTTCACTTCGTTTCTTCTTCAGTTTTTCATTATTTATTATCTCCCATCTCTGTTTTGGGTACGAGTAGTGTTTCGGCTTTGGAACATAACATCTATTTACTGGCAGAGCTGTGTCCTTTTTGTCTTTTTATTTTATTAATTTGGTTCATGCCTCAGTTGGAATTAGCTGTTGTTTGTCCATCGTTTTTATGGCTTTACCTTTTTTGTTCTCCTGTCTTTATTGTCGATCAGTATTTGAATTCGAAAAATATTGATTCAATATTTGAAATTTATATGAATTCAAATATGCACACATTCGATAATAATAATATTATATTTAATATGCCACATAAAATATAAAGTTCTAGATCAAATTAGGACACATTTTTAAAATGACTATGTGCGACTAGACATGGCCAAGGGTAGAACTAGCTTGGTGAACCGACCCATAATTGGTGTGCATTCACCGGTTTTTGAACAGTACACTTGGCACTGTTGGGCTGGTTTAATGTTATGTTTTTTACATTTTTGGCTAGTCGGGCGAGGTCGGTCCTGGATTGGAAGAATGGCTCAGTTCTATTTTTTTTTTTCGGCCGGGTGGGTTTGACGCGGACCGGACGGAGTTGACCATTGGGAACCACACCCGACTCAACGGCAATAAATATTTGATGTTTTGGGCTGGGCTGGGCTGGGTCCGACGGTCCTTTGATCACGACCGTTGGATAAATTGTATTGTTGAGAACCAACGGCTCACGCATTCCAGACCTGGTCGACCGGCCGAGTGATCCAACCTCTCTCTCTCTCTCTCTCTCTCTCTCTCTCTCACTCTCATATTCTAGCTATTTTACAAAGTGCTCGGTTTTTAGTTTTGTGTTCGGTTTGCAAAAAAAAGACAAACAAAAAAAGTTAAAAAATATCCACAAGAATTTCCCAAAAAATTTTACAAATACCTCCACTCCCATTCATTTTTCTTATCCCATTCTACACTTTTATTTTATATTTTATTCTTGAAATTACATAATGTCGAGCTCTCGTAGTGGTCGTGGTTCGAGCTCTGGACAAAAGTGTAAAAATATTGGCGCATCTTCTTTGATACATCCATTGCCGGCAATGGTGAGACCAACGATAAATGTGAATGTTCTCAGTGTAGCCGATGATATTGATGCTGCGACGATCAAGCGCATATTTGAGTCCATTGAGCCTGAGCAGATCCAAGAGGTTGTAAAGAAGGGTATGAGCAAGGGCAGCAGCAGCCGTATCACGGCGATTTGGATGATCTATTAGGAGGTAAAGGGAGTCCGGAGCCTCAACAAGAGACGCATGCGCAAGAGGACCCGACCTCCGTCTTAGGTCGTGGCAGTCAATCGAAAATGTCGGGATCCGCCATGTTCGAACAACATTTACACGAAGGTACCCAATTCGGAAAAAGGTGAGAATCATATTTTTGCTGTTTGCAACTATTGTCCGGTCAATTCCATGAAGAAGTAACATACCAAAAAAAGGTAATGGGTACGGAACGTTGAACCGACACTTAAAGAATTATCATCCAACAAAATTGAAAATTGACACGGTACAGACACAACTCCCGAGTTAGCAACGCTGCATCCGCCACGACTGGTACAAGTTCTCCATCTTTATTTCATTACTCGCTTGAAAATCATATACATCATTTAGCTGAATTTGTTTTTGATTCATCTCTTCCTTTTACTTTTGGTGATAGTGATTAGTATGAATATTTTGCTTAAATGGCTTTGTATGGCTTTCACCGGTGTAATGCCCCGTTTATTTATAGATATTTTGGGATTAATATATATATATATATATATATATGTATGCATTATTATTTTTATTTAATATTAATTGTCTAATTTATATTTATTGCCAAAATTGTTTAAAATTGCTATTCATTATTAAATAATATTATGTGTGTTTTATTATACAATCCGATTTTATTTTAATTATCGCCACGTCGAACCGAGCCTCGATTATTCGCTAAGTGTCGAGCCCGAGAGAACCAAACCCGGTCGAGCCACCCGGCGACCCCCACGCCCAAACCCGGTCCGACCCCCATCTCTCTCTCTCTCTCTCTCTCTCTCTGTAACTTGGATGGCAAGTTTTGGGAGAAAACCTAATGTTATAAATTGTATAATCTCCTCTCTCTCGCTACACTTCAACCCGCAGCTTTCTTTTCTTCTCATTCTCTCGCTCGTCGCGTACATAGAAAAAGGGGAAGAATCGATCATCTCCCTTAATCTCTCTTGCTCTCGTTATCCATTGTCCTCCTCGCACTCGCATCTCTCTCGTGAATGTGCAAGGAAGAGAAAGTCTATCCCGCTCTCGGCCGATCATAACTTCGACGACCACCTCCATCGCAAGCCCCGACGATCACCACGCCATCCCCATCGCGAGGTCACCAACGAGTCTCGCCACCGCCGGTTGCTGTCAAACCATGTTCAGGCCTTCGTTCACCCTCGAGAACCCGCTGCTCGCCCTTTTTCTGTCGTGCGAAACACCGCAGGACCACGTGAACACTCGTCGCGAGCCTAGCAACGCAGCCGAGCCTCCCAATCTCGAGCACCCCAGCCAGTCGTCACGCGCGACCGCGATCTATTTAGCTTCCTTGCGTATGTTTTCGTGTGATATCTCCGAAAACGGTACAAGAGGCTCGAACTCCTTTAATTATTCATGTCGTTTATTATTATATATGTTGGTGCCTTTGATGATTAAGCATGAATAGGGTTTTATAAATTGTTGATGTGTGTTATGTTCGTGTACCACGTGCCTTGTTGTCAAATCTATATTAAAGCATGCTATGGTGTAATTCACCCCTCGTTATGTGTGTGTCATATGTGATATGTAGTGTTTATATGATTAAGTGGTAATGTTTCTAACATGGAGATGGATTGTTGGAGTATCGTTGATATTGCATGATTTAACTCATTTTTGAGGTCTCTGTTGTGCCTCTGATAAGGCCCTCAGGAACTCATTTTCTGAAATTGTGATCTTCATATGAAATGTAATTCATTCAGTGCCTCTGACAGAGAAACCAGCTCTGACATAAGTGATTGGAAGATCTGATCTTTGTTTGAAAACCGGTCCGATTGATGTTGAAGTCAAAAAAGAAGGAGATGGTCGATGTAATTGAGCTCGACAGAAAGGTTTTAAAGAATCTCGACTAAACAAACTTCAATGGCATTAAGGGTATTCACCGCCCACGTCAACCAAGGTTGACTTTGTTTGGAATTTGAAATTTAAAAAATTCGATTTAAAACGAGTGAGTTATGATTTTTACAAAAATATCGTACAAGCAGTTTTCTGTGAAACCCGACAGCAGTTATTTAAATGTATGACCTGTTTATCGTGTTTTAATGTGCTCAAATGAGTTTGTGATCTTCATGAAAATTATAGGTCTATTTTTCTTAGCTTTCTGATGAGGTAAGGTTCATGCTGATATGATGTCTGTGGCTCGAGTTATGTTTAGTTGAATGGAGATATGAATGAGACGGTTTTGTACTTTTGGCAGAAGTTGATTCTTAAATGTAAATTACTTTTACACCTTCTTAATGACCTTATATGCTTTCGTGTTCTAAATAAGAGTTGCAGGGCTGCCTCTTAGCTTTCTAAACATGCAAGAATCATGTTAATATGTTATGTGTAGTATTAATTATGTCTTTTTACTGAAGCTGTGCACAAGCATGTTTACGTTTCCCGGACTGCAACAAGGTTCATCATGTTAGTCAATATATGACCTGCTAAATGCAATTATTTGCTTCTGAGGTCTTCATAAAAGTCGTAGATACATGTCTTAGGTTTAATTTGAGAGTTGAATCATGTTAATATGAATTATTTGCTTATAGTTATGTCGATTTTAAAAACCCTGCTCGGGTTTTTTTTTTCCCGAAACGGTAGATGCAACTATTATAAATCTCAAGCGAACCGAGTTCGAATACAGAGGAACCAGTCCCAACCGATAAATAAAAATTGAGAGACACGCCATAGGCGGTCTAGAGCCTAAACAAAGGAAACACCAAGCACTCATCGAAGAAGTAAAAAACAAAGACCAAATATGAAGACCCTCGCCACTGCTAAAAAGCCTAGAAAAGGGTGATCACTAATAGAAAATACAAAGCAAAAAGCAAAAGACTACAAAGGACCAATCAAAACATTAAGGGGAAGAGACAAGGGAGAAATCCAGCCAGTCATTATGAGCAATCCTAAGCATGGAGTTCTCCGGAATAAGGGTGTGTTTGAAGATCCACAGGTTCCTCGATTTCCAAAGCCACCAAAGGATGTATGTTGTGAGTTGGATTCTTGCTTCGGCAACTTCAGAATGATCTAAGGAACAAACTTGATACCACCAGTGCTTGAAAGAGTCATTATAACTTGAGATGCCATCCCAAAGAACCGGACTCAGTTTCCAAACCTTCAAAGCTCTGTGGCAGAAAAAGAAAATGTGCTCCAAAGTTTCAGGTGCATCCCTACAGATAGCACAAGTAGAGTCTATGTTTAAACCCCTTTTCTTAAGATTTACAGCAACAGGTAAAATACCAGAAAGACACTTCCACAAGAAGAGCTTGAGTTTGTTTGCAATTTTCAACTTCCAGAATCTGAATTTGATAGATTTCTTGATGGTTGTTAATGAACTGCAACTTGGAATATCAGCAAGCAAGACTTTAATAGAGCAGAGATCGGGTTAGGTTTTGAAAAACTTATGTGGTGTTTTCGGAAATAAGATTTTCTTGTTAAATGCATGCTTATATGCTTATATGAGCTTGGTTGAACTAAGTGATTGTTATGGTTAGTTGTTGATGTGTAGGATAGTCATTTAAAGGGATATTTTATTAAATGTAGGTGCTTGATGAGCCGAGCTCGCGCATACACGTACTTTTGTGATATCTCTTGCGTTTGTCCAGGTGGGTTATGTTATTCTAAAATTACATATGCCATATGTGTTAAAGTTTGTTGGGTTGGTATGATCAATGTGTGCATGTGAAA